TTTCCCTTGCAGGTTTTTACGCACATCCTTCCCACATCCACCCTCAAAGTTCATAGTAATTTGTTTTAAAGAACTACATCATAACTTAACCTCAGCATCTCATGCTCACTGTTACTCAAATGGCGCGCACAAAATGAGTACATTTTTCGGAACGTTTTTTACCATTTTGATCGAACCAATTAAAACCTCAGTCGTTGATAAACTATTTCTCTTGTGACACAGTTGGCGCCTATAATTCAGGCCTCCTCAACAGTGGCTATGATTGTCTGCTCGAGTCATCATTGCAAAGGTAGATCACAGGACTTGCGTTATATCGAGCGGAACACACGTGTCATGTCAGCCGTCTGTTATCGCCAGGTCACTCATACGAGCTGACTGAGGGCAGTAAAAGCCGGAGATGACTGGTTATCAGCGCGTTTAGAATGGATAGTTGGAGAAGATTTGCGACCTTTCAGACTATATTTAGGTAATATTTATCATTCTGAAGAAGTTGGATACAAAAAGAAAGGAAATCTTGTAACCTCCAACTTTTCAAGGTTGATTACATAGCTAGGGTAGTTTTCTAACGTCAGGACAATATTGGGAAATATAGAAGAGATCCAATTGCAAAAAATCTGGACTTCAGCTGGATTCGAATCAGTGAAGCCATTGGCTTCGTAACTCAGCTGGTAGAGCATTTGCCACGTTTGGGCATGTTGTTTCTGTTCGCTGGTTCGAATCCAGCCGAAGTCCAGATTTTTCGCAATTGGGTCTCTTCTAAGTTATCAAATCTGCCAAACTACTTATCAGTAACTGGAAAATACATTCGAGAAAAAAAATAGTCCGCCTTGTCACAATCACATTATGTTATCCTAAAGTTAAACAGCCTATAAGACACCTCACTTAATAGTAACGTTTCTTGTAACCGCTTCTAGAAATGACCGTTGATTTCAAAGACCTTCTATTCGCTTCTCGGTAAGGTCATAAACGCTCCTGGGCTGTTGGGTTTTCTCTCCACTCGATCAGTCCTTCTGTTGCTATGGTGATTGCTCGTTTGTAGGCTAACCCCAAAGACGGCTGATCAATTTGAACCTACAAGGAAAAGAACCGTTAGAGCTAAGGAAAATAAATCGCATACTTTCTTGCAACATCGATGATCACCGTCCTGTAGTCTAGTGCATAAGCCTCTGGTTTACAATCTGGAACTGACTATTTGAAAAGACCTCTCAACTTTCTCCTGGGCTGTGGTGGGTGTCTCATGGTTTGTGTAGTAAATGCCAATTCGTCAGCCTCCTGGCGACACTGGCTGTATTTGATCTTGCTGGGGCGTGACGGCAGGTTAGTATTTCAGCTGCACGTCAAAAATCATCGAACTATTGACCCTTTCAGTTCAGATTGATGATTGTTCTCTGGACCCGTTTAACTAGTCGGAACATCCAATGCTAATGAGGATAGGGATCTTCATAATATCCCTGCAGGGTTGATTCAGAAAACCATGACTGCACTTTTCTAACTAGTTGGAAAATAACATGCAGCTTCTGCGTCAAAATATCCTACACATTAGACAAAACGTGTTACTGAAAATTCATCAGCTCACTTGAATCGGAAGGCACTACTGATGTGTTCGATTTCAAAGAACATCCAAGGTTGTTGTTTGTGTCAACATTTACATCACGTGTGTTGTTACAGAGTGCATGCCTATATGCCTCAAGAAGTTTCGAGATATTTTACCTAGATGTCTCTAATGGTTTAACCATCAGATGGTCATTTAGATCGGTTCGAATTGCTAAGACAATCCAGTACAACTTTCATAGTGTGGTCGTTAGTAGCGTATTATTAGGAAACATCAGGGAAGAGCAAACTCCAAAGAAAGAGGCTTCGCAACGATCACGTGTTGGAGAAAATATGAATGTATGTGAGACCGATCAACTTGATAAGGCCTGACCTCAAGTTAATTTCAAATATATAACACTCGTACATACTTTTTTATAGAGTGCATTTCAACTCCACGCCAAACTGTTTTATCGAGAGCCACAGATGCTTAATACAACACAGCAAATACACCACTGACGCTAGAATGGTTTATTACAGGTTAAAATAATATGCACAGCCTGCAGTAGCTTTCTACCAGGTTTCAATGGAAAGAGTGCACTATTTTATACTTCGTGTTTATATGTTTCAGACCGGTAACTCTTGTTAGGGTAATCCCTCCATACAATTCAGCTAATTGTGTCAGCATGGATTAAGTGTGCCCTCACTGAGCATGTTTTTCCTTCCTTCCACACTACAGACACCGAATTACTACGTCTATATTTCTGCAGACTAAATTAGGGGATACTTCCAACTGGGAACTAGTAAGTTGTAAAATGTGGCTGTGCACCTGTTTTATGAAAGTCGTTTCCGAACTCATACCTCATACGAGCGCTTTGATTGTGAATAAAGACTAACACTGTACGGTGTGGTTCCCTTACTTTGTGTTTCTCTTAGGTACCGCCAACAAAAAGTTACGACTTGAGTTTGAAAGTTGATATTGCCCATCACTAAATGAGTGACGGAAATGGATAATCTAGACAGTTGAGTAGTAGTTTAAAACATTGAAGTAGACGACTTAAAAGTGTGTTATACATCATGGTAAGAATTTTAGAGGGAACCAACAGAGTTTACTAACACGACTTTCTAGATCATGTAACAAACCGGGCTCATCGATTCCGGGCTACTGAAATGCAGAAGGAGTATTTTTATACAGGACTTGAAGAGGCCCTTGTAACGTTCCACTCTCAACGACCAGTGCTTTGAGTAGCGATGTCTGTCAGCTGACTTTGACACCAATAATCTATCTGTTATCCAGACATATACACAACAGTACACTGCATGTATACGTACATACGTGTACCAGAGCGACCGCTGAACTTGGCTAACTTGCCTGATGCGTCTTTCTGTTTGGCAAAGTGTGTGCGCTAGCATGTATGAACGCTTTTTGTTCAATTATTTCTAAGCTGTGCTTGTGCCCATAACATACGTAAATAGAAAAATTATTTTTACTATAAACAGTGACACGAATGAGTAGATTTTATGGAACATTTTTTATTCCACATAATGGGCAGAGAAACACAAAGTTTGTTTAATCAGGCTAGTATGTAAGCCTGTCTCCATCCTGTCAACATAAAACTCAGTTGCGAACACCAACTTTAAAACCGTTTCGCACCTGCCATTCTCTTGTTTGGCTGACTGCTTTTAGCTAACAGACAACCTCGGTAAACAACCATAAGAGTTGTTTCATTCGATTGTTTAAAAAAAGCATCCATGGGCTAACCGGTTAACAGATGTCTTACTTTCTCAGTCTAGCGCTGTTTCAGATCGATGTCGACAGTGACAAAGTTGAGGGCCATTTTTCAGATAGTCCGATGTCAGCATTCGTTGGACCAATTTGAACCAGCTGAATGAGCAGTGGTGTGTCGCTCTTCTTGATATCAGCACTTTTTAATAGCGACGCTTTCATGACACCGTTTCGCAGTTTCTGATTGCGTCTAAATTTTAGTTTCCTGTCCAGCAGTCTACGCGTTACAGTTATTTGCTGACAGGATCCCAAGCTGTATCCACAACCCAAACTTCGCTCGTGATATGTTTAATTTTTATTCTGGATACTTTTAAGCAATCCGTTAATTTCAAGTTGAACATCACCCACAATTGATCGCAGCTGTCGCATTCCCATAGACTTTCCAGTCGGCCCCTTTCGAAAAGAAGCACTAGACTCGAGTTTCGCTCTCATTAGAGCTCGTCAGTAGTGCATATCCTTGCCACTGCCGGTGATGTTCAACTTGAAATTAACCAAATCCTCGACTACTCATCAGTAATCCGTCAATTGTCCACGGTTAAAACTAAACCAAATATATTTTAAGTTCGACTATCTGAAAATCAACGGCTTGGGTAGTGTAATATCGTAACAAACAGATTGTTCAACAATTCTCACGTGATTTTGACGCTACCTCTATTCGGTCCACCAGTCAAGCCCACATTTTCTAGCTCCGTTCTCGCACAGCAAACTGCAGCTAATTCTAAATGTTTAAAACAGTTCGTTCTCTTCAGAAGTTTGAACAAAACCGTTAGAACACGAAAACTGGTAGATGCAAGCATTTCGTATTGACTCATCAGTACCAAATTTACAATAACATGAAACGGTTTTTTATATCGAACAGTTAGGGGTGGGTGGGACTTAGAGACCTTTCCTAACCCATCAATCGACTATGTATCCACCCACCCCTAACTGTTCGATATAAAAAACCGTTTCATGTTATTGTAAATTTGGTACTGATGAGTCAATACGAAATGCTTGCATCTACCAGTTTTCGTGTTCGTTATTACGGACGAGC